TAGGTCCCTTAAAAAATGTGTGTGACCGGGACTCACTACCTCAACATTAGCAATTTAAAATATCTTCCCTGAGTTTTTATTTATATATATTTGTAGGAGCCTTACAATGCAGGCTATCTCTTATTCTTTTTTTTTAAATTTAGCTGTGCATCGGATGTTTTCCAGTGCAATTAAATAGTCGCCGTCAGCATAACTTTGATAGTGTGTCACTATCAAATTGTGCTTTGATGTGCAAATATGAATTGCGCTTTGTCAGCTAGAAGACTTTTTTCACCATCTCGAATGAAACTCTGGTAACAGTGCCCTCCAGCACAAACTGTTCACACGCAACTAGTCATTTCCTTACGGCACATTTCCTGTAAGTCCAAGAATATTGTACAAGTTTTCACAAATTTTAGGTATTGTTTTTATGGGAATACGTGTGTTCCTGCATGAGTTAACGAGCACCACATGCATGCAGGTGCCCTCAGAGGCTAGAGGGCATGAGATCCCCTAGAACCGAAACTGGGGTTACAGGTGGCTGTGAGTTGCCTAATGGGAGCTCAATCCCAGCCCTCTGGAAAGACAGGCTGTTCTCCTGACTGCTGAGCCATCTCTCCATCCTTGGCATTTTAATGTCTAGTAGAATTTTGCATGGTGTACCAGCTGTCATTAATGAGAAGAATTTGGCTTGGCAGCGCATGGATGGTCGTTCCCCCAAAAGTGTATTGGGCAGAAATATATCGCGTACACACAGCAAGTTTAAGATGTGACATGTACTTTGTTTTTCAACGAGCTGCACGGTAATAGAGCTGCTATTAACTGAGCTTTGGAGACACTCACCAAGATAAGGGACTATACAAAATCCAAACTCGAGTAATTGAAGTAATTTGAAGAGCAGTGTATTTCCATTTGGGTCCAGCTATGGTTCAGATAAACCAAAAGGACAAATACGCAATGAAGTGACGTTCTTGGGACTGCGTAGCAGCAAGACCTACAGTGGACAAGGAGAACTGAGAAAACATTGGCAGGATTTTTTTTTTTTTTAGGAATTCCAATGGATACCCATTTAGATTACGGCAGTACTACTGATTGTATAATGTAGCTAAGCTATAATAGCTCTAACTTAGACCTAACTATTAGAAGGTAAAGTAAGTTAAAATAGGTCAACTGAGAGGCAAGGGAAGAATGTGAACATTTTGCTGTACATTTATTTGCTGGATATTTAGCTACCATGTTGAAACAGATCAAGGCTGTGAAGAAATACCCCATATCTCATACCTGTCTAGTCTTTTGATGAGCAAGTCATAGGCACATACAGGGTAAGGCATTCCTTGAAGAGATGTTCCAGACCAAATGCCTTGGGGATGGGAAATAGGCTTGTTCCACTTGAGGATTTTTGGTTTAGAATTCAGTTTTGATATTCTCTGCTCCCCGCCTCTCCGTAAGATCTGTATCAGTGATCTGGTATATAACATAGAACATGTAACACATGTACAATAAAGGCAACTTGTTCCCCAGTTCAATGTGGCAAAACAGTCATTTACCCCTGCTGGCTAAAGACTAGCCAATGCTCTCTCATCTGGGTCAGGCCGGTCTGTTCTCACCTGAGTGTTCACACAAATCTAAGGCTGACCCCTGGAGAACAGTACTGACCCCACAGTGGCCCATTTTCCTTCATCCCTCAAAAGGCTGACCTCACTTGCCCAGACATAACAGGCCTCCAACTGATACAACGTCTTATCTGTTGCCTGATACTGTTCAAAACAAGTCACAGGCCGGCCCAGATTCAAAGGTTGAGGGAAACGTTCCCTCCATCTGTTAAGGAAGTCAGTACGCAGCTGCATTGCAGGGAGGAGCAGAAAACAGGCGAGCATGGTGGCCGCTGAAAGTCCCACATTGGGTGAAGGACTGTGTAGATGCTGTATCTATCCATTCGCCTTGCCTGGTGGCATTTCTATTTGCATGCTTCTATTCCTAGCTGCCGTAAATATTTATTTACTAACGGACATAATGCAACAAGATAGGTGTGGCCGATTAACATAAGAGAATGACAGAATACAAGAAGGGGTAGATAAGGAATAGGAATGATCTTGGTTGTTGTTTTTCCAAGGAAAAATAAATGTTCCTGAAACGAGAGATTCAGAACGCTTTCTAGGAGTCTTTCCCCTCACCATCATGAATCACAAGTTAGTCCAGTGTCTTCATTATTTGTTGTGCAGCATGGCTCCTAGGTTCCTCACCACCATGGACTTCCTTTTGTCTACATACCAGTTCAGGCATGGTAAAGCACAATTTCTTCTTACCCGATTCTCCTGGTTGATTTCCAGTGATTGAAGGGATGCTTGTCATGGCCTGGCCCTTTCGGTCAAACCCAATGCAAGTCTTTGTATTTCTTGTTTTACATTTTACCCTATCGGCAAAACGGCCAGCAGTGTTCTAACCTGTTAAGACTAGAATGATTATTTCGTCATCTGGAAAGCAGCTGTTTCGGAGGGGTGTGGGGGGAATCTCAGGTACACAGTGAGAGCCAACGTGGGCCAATTCTCCAGGTGTCTGACTCGAAAGGGCTGCCCTGGACTTTCTCCTGGATCACGCAGTAGGAACAGCTACACCTGGGGATACCACTTCCTGGAAAAAGAATGAGAAAACAAGAGCAAATAGATACCAAAGAGCATGGCAAGTTACAATTCCTTCTCCCACAGTTACAATTCCTACAATTACTACCACCATTCTTTTTACTGGAAGAAGCCACAAGCCTGAGTCAGGGCACAGCGAGGAACGCTCTATGCTCAGTGAGCCCATGAGGAGTTAGGAAGAAAAACAAGATTTGAAAAATACAATTTACCAGATATGTCATTGTTTTGTTTTTTAGTGTTATGTCTTCTGCATATTTGATATTGTTGTTACAAAGATTCAACTTCCTGAGTTGAATGTTGCAAAATAGTGTCACGTATTTGGAAGTTTCTTTCTTCTAGGTTTCTGTTTTGGTTTTGGAAATTTTTCGTTTGTTTCTTTTGCTTGCGTTTCATTTTTAAAACTTTGAGATTATAATTGGATTTTTCCCTTTCCTCCCTCCAAGCTGTCCCATATACCCCTCCTTGCTCTCCTTTAGAGTTGTGGCCTCTTTTTTTTTCACCAATTGTTATTGCATGAATATAACTTAAGTATAATCTGTTTAATCTGCATAATGTTGCTTGCATGTGTGTTTTCAGGGCTGACTTTCGTGGCCCTGGACAATCTCTTCCCTGAGGAGCCCCACTTCTGCTCCCAGCTTTCCTCAGTTGCTGTTGTTCTTTGAGGCCCGTGGGCTTCCTCCCCCAGAGTTCAGAAGCTGATGTCTTACATGGTAGTCCCTACAACATAAGAAAGAGATTTCTTTTCAGACACTGTAACTCTTAGCGACAATCGCCCTTGAACACTTCAAAGAACATAAAGAATTACAATGAAAACTTTGAAGGCAAAATACAGACAAATTGAATTGGGTAATTAGACAAGGAGATCCCAGACAGGGAGAAAGAAAGGCAGGGACACTGAGAGCTCCGGAATGACTTGGCGAGGGATGACTTTGTGACAAGAAAATAAACTGTACAGACGGAGAAAGAACAACCACGGTAATATGCATGCGTGTGTGCGCACCCCTGGGAAGTGACTTAGATCCTTCTACTACCCAAAGTTATGTGCTATTCAAGGCTTGATTCAGTAGCCATACTTGAAGGAACCAATCGATTCTACAGGTACACATTCCAGGAAGATCTAGTCGGCCTCCTGTATACCTGTCGGAGAACTGACGTCTGAGCTGAGATTTTTAAGATGAGTTACCCATCAAATAATTTGGAGAGCGCAGATGTTGGCTCAGGGGACTTTCCAAAGGGAGCACGAACTGGTGAGAGGAGAGTGCGTGGAGGGGGAAGAGCTTGGTTTATTCAGGGAATAAAAATGCTGACGCAAGCAATGAAGAGAATGGCACAAGTTGTTTAGAAAGTGATAGGGGAACACGGCTTTAGGGAATATGTTGAGAAATTTGAATCGTCTAGGAGCAAGCAAGAAAAGCCATCATTAATTTTTTTGAGATTGGAATGACACGATCAGTTTTTTTAAAAGATTTATTTAGTTATTATGTATACAGTGTTCAGCCTCCATGTATTGCCTGCAGGCCAGAAGAGAGCACCAGATCTCATTACAGATGGTTGTGAGCCATCATGTGGTTGCTGGGAATTGAACTCAGGACCTCCAGAAGAGCAGTCTCTTAACCACTGAGCCATCTCTCCGGCCCCCAATCAGTTTTGCAATTAGATAAAGATCACTAAAATGACTGTATAGAGATTGAATTAAGTGGGAGGGACGAGCTGAAGCGAGGCAGTCATTTGGGAAGCCACCGCCGCAATTCAGGCAAGAGGACAGGGTGGTAGAAGAGGTAGGAAGAAATCAATGAAACTTTGGGAATAGGAGCAAGACCCAAGGAAGCTTAAGGACCAAGCACTGGAGAGCAGCAAGAAGGCACACAGCTGATGGCTTTTATTCTGAGTTTAACTGGTTTAAAGAGTTAATAGGTATCCAAGGACAGGGCGGCTGTGGAGCTTAGAGGAAAGCCAAGGGTTGGTATACATCTAGGAGTGACCCAGAACATGGACGCTATCGGGGAGGCCACCAAAAGTACAATGGGAGAAGGGGAGGTTAGTGGTTTGCGGTTAGTGGTTTGGTAATAGAGATGGGGCCATAGAAGTCCAGGAAAGCGCAAAGGGGCAAGGTGGTTCTATCCTCATAATGAGTAAGGGAGGAAAGTTTCAACAATGGAGGTGTCAATTGTGTTAAAGCTTTTTTTTTTATTTTTTTTTTGGTTTTTCGAGACAGGGTTTCTCTGTAGTTTTATTAGAGTCTGTACTGGAGCTAGCTCTTGTAGACCAGGCTAGCCTCGAATTTACAGAGATCCGCCTGGCACTGCCTCCCAAGTGCTGGGATTAAAGGCGTGCGCCACCACCACCCGGCTATGGTTTTCTTAAACTTCTTAATTAGATTTATTCATTTTATTTCATGTGTTTTGCTCGCATGTATGCATGTACACCACCTGCATGCTCGGCGCCTATAGAGGTCAGAAGAGGGCACCAGATCTTCTGGAAACTCCATGTGGGCACCAGGGATCCAACGTCTGTCCCCTGCAAGGGCAAGCTGTCTTAACTGCTGAGTTAAAGTTAAGTCCCTGTGTTGAAGGTTTTTAAACGGGTAAGTAAAGCGGAAGTCCTCTGGCTTTAGAAACATGGCAGGTAGTCGTCAGTCCCCAACTCTGCCTTCTCGGCGAGGCGGCTACTTAATGCAGGGTCTCCGAGACTATTCCTTGTCGTTGTTCTCCAAACTTGTAAACAGAACCTCCAGTCTGCGGTTTGCACCGCGTAGCGGAGCCCCAGATTTCCTACCCGGGGGTGGGGAGACGGGGGACAGGAAGACCAAGCGGCAGCCACACCGCGCGCGGCGGGGAGGTGGCGCGCTCGCGGAACAGCCGGCTAAATCCCGCCGCTGATTGGCTAGTGCGGTAAGAGGCGGGGCGCCCTGGGCCTTTTCCCCAGCCCGGTGCTTTCGTTTTCCCCGCAGCGCTGAGTCTGTCGAGGCGTCTGGCGACGCGGGAACCGCGCCCCTCAGACCCTCTTGGGACGCAGCTGAGCGGCGCTGGGAGATCTGCCCCGACTCGGGCACCCGTGTGCAGTGAGTGAGCGCCGGGTGTGGGTGCGGGTGAGGGCGGAGTGGGGCGCCCCTCCAGGTGCGGGGTCCGCTGCCTGCAGGTGACCTGACATCGCTCATCACGGGGGACCCTCTGCCTAGCTCACGGCTCTGCTTGGCGCCCTTACCCTGGCCGTCCACACGGTTGGGCAAATAGCAATAGACTTGTGCAATAGATGTGTCTCCCGGAAGACTCTGCACTTTCCCACTTAACCCTTGCTCGCCTCACCGGAAAAACTTTCCGTTTTCTTCTTTCCGCAGTTGTATCAGCTCTGTCCCATCTCCAGAGCCGCTGCCACCCCGTGCACTGCGCGCAACGGGCACCTAATTTGCTGAGTTTGGTGGTTGCTTGTGTTTGAATCCCAGCCTGCTCCCGGAGACAGTTGAGTAAGTGTTCTTCACAGTCCAGTAAGTGTTCGTGGAAGTGAATGCATTTGGAATCTCAGTATGTAGCAGCCCGTAAGCAGCTTTCTGGAACGTAAAAGTGGTATTTAGTTACTGCAGAACCACTAATATTGTAATTATTATTTAATAATAACTCCCGGGCTTCCACGGAGTAGTAAGTGTACAGGTGGGTGAAAATTGTTTTTATCTGGGCAAAACGTCTTGAGCCCTGATTGCTTAGTGAGGATGCCAGACTCAAACTTGTAGGATCATCATGGGGTTTGCCTGTTGCTGCCCAAAGCCTTCTGAAACATCCCAGGTTTCAGTAGGACACACTGTTCTCTGCTCAGTAACGCTTATGATTTAGGCCAAATACCGGGACTGTTCCGGGTCCAGAGGATGCTAATACCAAAATGTACCCCCTCCGAGGCGCTGATGCTTACAATACCGTGGGAGACAGTCATACACTTCACAGGGAAGATTGGAGCTGATGCTGTAATCGGAGGGCAAGCAGATGTAGGCGGGACAGATAGGAAGAAGGGTCATTTATACAGACCTTGTTGGCAGCAGCGTGGTCCAGTCTGTGCATCACAGTCTAGACTGGGAGGGTAGAATGTTTGCTGGGGGCACGGAGACAGCTGAGCCTAAGGCTGGAGAGGAAGGAGTCGCCCCCAAACTCTGTTAGAGCCAGGCGATTGAGAGTCTTGTCAGTCTCAGGTTTCTTGAGAATATGAACTTGGTTCTGGGTTTGTCAGGATGCGTCTCTAGATGCACAGGTTTGTATCCAGTGCTATGTGTGTTTAGCACACACAGTCCCAAGAAGCTCCTGCACGGAGGGGTAAATAGGTTGTCTGAGCACTTGACTAATAAGAGCTTACACAGACGCCATGGCCTGACAGCCCCTCCTAGTTGCTTTAGGCATGTCCCTAATGGGGCAGGGGAGGACTGATTTGGACATCAACAGAGGTAAACCAGATGTAAAATATCACTTTGCTCCACAGACGTGCCACATGGTGGGTGGGCCGGAATTCTTTTTATTAGTGTTTGAAATGGCAGCTAGCTTTGTAGTCCTTTTTGTGCAGCAGGATGACTTCATTCCTGCCCACGAGTGTTCGAAACCTTGTCTGCATATTTACATACCTCCAGACCCCACCGGATACAGACCTTCCCCAGAGGTCTTGGCAGGACTAGATTTGCATGTAGTGATGCCCGTGTGCACCCGTGTATGTCCTGTTACGTGATGGCCCTACAGAATGTGTTCTTAAGAGTTCCTTAAATGAGGGATTGCTGTAATGCTTCCTATTTCTCTACTTTATCTCTTCGAGTGACATTTAGCAATGTTGTTTTGTTCTGACACGGTGACTCACTGCATAACCTTGCAGGCTAGGCTTGCACTCAGCAGGCAGCTCAGGCTGACCTTGAACTCACGGCCTTCTTGGCTCGGCTTTTCCAAGTGCCGTGATCTCAGGTTTGGTGAGCCAGGCCTGGCTGTGGTTTCCGTCTGTGGAGATGACTCACCGCGCATGGTTCGGCTGTGTGTGTGTGTGAGGACCCGAGTTTGGGTCACCAGCACCCCCATACACACACTTATAGACAAAGGCAGGTGTGATGATGTGCAGCTGTGTCTTCGGTGCTGGGGAGCACAGGGCTTGCCGGGGAGCTATTCTAACCAAAACAGGCAGAGTTCTGGTCTCAGAAACTAAATCAGAGAAACAATTGAGGCTGTTATCCTGATATCCTTTGACCTCGCTACATGGGTCTGCCAGCACATACACACAAAACGTCATTATTGAGATTTAAGATTTCTTTGTGCCATGTCTGTTGTTTGCCGTGGAAACGAGAGAAATGTATCTCTTTTCAAATTTGTTGAATAAGAACATTTTACTGTGTCAGTCATAAATATAAAGTATCAACTTAAATCAGAGAGGTGATGGTACATTGGTTAAAGCTCTTGGTACCAAGCCGGAGGACCTACATAGTGGAAGGAAAGAGCCAGCCCCTGCAGGCTGACCTCCGACTTCCACTCACAATGTGGGGCAACGCATGCAATAAATAAAACATAATAATCTTGAAATAAAATGCAAGCTTTAAAATGGACTGTACTTAGTAGGAAAGTTTTAGGAAGGGCTTGCGATATCTTCATTCTAAGAATGTTTTCTACTTGTTTGAGAAAAAGTAGACTTTCCTTTGTAAATACTTATTGGATCCCCAGGTTACCAGACCTTGTTCCCTGTCCTTTTCTTTAACAGAAAAGGTAATGAAGCACAAAGGAAAATATGGGATGGGTCTGGGTGAGAAACGAGTGCTCTGCAGAAAAATCTATCAAGCGGAGGGGTAGTGTTTTCCAGGGAGGGTGGCTACCCCTGAAGCAAGATGGCTAGTGTAGGCTGCGCCGACCTTTGAGTAAAGACCTGGGGATGTGTTTTCTGCAGAAGAAAAAAAAAATGATTCCAAAATTCAATAAAATGAATATTAAATATAGATACCATTCCGGTCACGCTTTCCAGAGACCGACAGGGCAGAGTCGTGGGTGTCAGGAAACCTCTGTCTCCAAAGCATATGTGCATTACGATTCATCGCATAGCAAACGGACAGTTAGAAGGTACCAATGAAAATAATTATACGCTTGGGGATCGCCACCGCGGGAACGGCTGTCTTAAAGGGTCTCCGCGTTAGGAAGGGTGAGAGCCAGTGCTTTAGCGGCTCCGCCTGGAGCCGGAGCTGCCTGTTCACACGTGTGCTCTCCCTGCAGACAATGTCTCAGTGGTACGAACTTCAGCAGCTGGACTCCAAGTTCCTGGAGCAGGTTCACCAGCTCTACGATGACAGCTTTCCCATGGAAATCAGACAGTACCTGGCCCAGTGGCTAGAAAAGCAAGACTGGTAAGCAAAACCCCACCCCGGCTAGGGAACGGAGTGTGTTTAAAGATATCTGTCGATGAAGTAAGTCCTGGGAACTGTGTTTACAGAAAATGAATCTCCCCAATAGCCATAAAACCAAATTCATGAGTCCTTAAATACTTCCCAGTCTTAAACACAGTATTTGCTAAGGGCAAAAATCCTAAACATTCTGAAAGTATTTGATGTAGAAAGTCCAGGCCCCTGTTGGTTTTTTTTTTTTTTCTGTCTGAGGATAAACACCACGAATATTTTTTCTGTACAATCTCTGATGCTTTCTATAATTTTTCGTCAGTTGTGTGTGATAGAAATACTACGTAAGTTGCTAGTAATACTAATAAGACTATGCAATAATACGCTAATAGTATGGTAATAACACTATGCAAATTGCTAATAAAAGCAAGAAGAAAAACAATAAGCCTAAGAAACGCATTATCTTCTGATAATGTCCGGAAGGGAAGCAACATTTCTTTTATTTATTTTTTTATTTTTAGTTTTCCATTCAAAAATTTCCACTTCCTCCCCTCCTCCCATTCCCCTCCTGCTCCCCCACTCGCCCTCCCCCCCCCTCCAATTTTAAGAGAGGGCTGGGTATCCTGCCTTGTGGGAAGTTCAAGGCCCTCCCCCCTCCATCCAGGCCTAGGAAGGTGTGCATCCAAATGGACTAGGGTCTCAAAAAGCCAGTACATGCAGCAGAAACAAGTCCTGGTGCCGATGGCTTCTCAGTCAGCCCCTATTGTCAGCCACATTCAGAGAGGCCGGTTTGATCGCAGGCTCGTTCAGTCCCGGTCCAGCTGGATTTGGTGAGCTCCCAATAGAACAGGCACGCTGTCTCAGTGCGTGTGTTGTAAGTGGTGTCTGGAATGAGCTGTAAATTCCGATCTCCTAGGGAGCACGCTGCCAATGACGATTCCTTTGCCACCATCCGCTTCCATGACCTCCTTTCCCAGCTGGATGACCAGTACAGCCGCTTCTCTCTGGAGAACAACTTCCTGTTGCAGCATAACATACGGAAAAGCAAGCGCAATCTTCAGGTACGAACCGGCGTTGTGTGTTTCTGGAAGGGTCTCTGTGCTTCCTTCAAGCCTCTCCCGTCCTTCCGCTCAGCAGATGCTGCTCAGCACACACTCGCTGGCGTTTAGAGAAATTACAGGGACAGAGGGACTCTCTTTATGTGGCTAACGCTCATAAAACATAAATCAGTACTATTTCAATTCATTTTTTTTTTTCCTGCGACAGGGTTTCTCTGTAGCTTTGGAGCCTGTCCTGGAACTAGCTCTTGTAGACCAGGCTGGTCTCGAACTCACAGAGATCCGCCTGCCTCTGCCTCCCGAGTGCTGGGATTAAAGGCGTGCACCACCACCGCCCGGCGTTCAATTCATTTTTATAAACGCACAAAAGTTTTCAGGTTTAAACGTCATGCTGTTAAACTTTGTTTCACTAAAAGCCGCTGATATTGAGACCAAAGGAAAGGGGCTTCATTTTCAGAATAGTGAGCTACAGCAACTCATTAAGCTCCGAGAAATTTTAGCGATCAGCTGAATCTTAAGCTGGTGGGTCCAGGTGAAGATACTCCAGGAAGGTCTGGCCCACTCGAGGCTTAGTAAGTGAGTGACTTGGGCCAGAGCCACTTTGCCTTGCTTCTGGCAGACTTCTCTACCGCTGGCCCTTCAGACGTCCTCCCAGCGTGCCCTTAGCCTGGCCGCCACGCTTATTCTGTAGCGTAACACTTTCTTGTTGTCACTGAAACGAAAGGTTTTGTGGGACACAACCAAACACTTCACCCTAGGTAGCTGGAAGCCTTCTATTCTGCTTTCTCTCTGAAGGTGTCTGCGAGTTGATATCGGTCAGATGGGAAATCATATTAAGTTGAGAAAATGATGTTCTTATTCAGGCGTGAATATTCAGGTGTGGTGGTGAACTTGTCCTAAGAACACGGTTGCCAGGACTTTGCAAAGTAGCTTGGGCAGTGGAAACAGAACAATTGAGATGAATATTTTTATGCTAGTTACAGTACAGTTTGCTTCCGTTGCTGCGTTGAGGAGTTGATTGAAGACTATCATGAATAGTTCCTACGTCGTTTGCATTACCTCCATATTCTAACAGAAGACAGTTGGCTTCAGGATTACAGGCGATGGATACTAGAGCATTTAAGAAGAGGTGTGGGTATGGCTCAGAGGTCAGAGTGCCTGCTTAGTCTGCCTGAAGGTCTGAATTTTACACTCAGTACTGCCACAAACCCTCAGGATCCACATAGGAAAATATTTTCTTTTTAAATCAAATTGCTCAAATTTGGTAAGATAAAGTAATCTTTGTCCTAATTTATAAAAGGAGTATTTTTGCTTTTATAAAAATATGTTACTAGGCATGGTGACCAACGGTGGCACATACCTTTAATCCCAGCATTTAAGGAGGCAGAGGCAGGCAGATCTCTGAGTTCCAGGACAGTTATGACTACATAAAGACCCTGTCTCAAAAAAAACCAAAAAGTGCCAGGTGGTGGTGGTGGCACATGCCTTTAATCCCAGCACTCGGGAGGCAAAGACAAGCAGATCTCTGTGAGTTCGAGGCCAGCCTGGTCTACAAGAGCTAGTTCCAGGACAGGCTCCAAAGCCACAGAGAAACCCTGTCTCGAAAAACCCAAAACAAACAAAAACCAAAACAAAATAACAACAGCAAAAAAAAAAAAAATCCCTTAAGTCAGATTTAGTAGGCATGTGATAAGCTTCTTAAGGAAGAGAAAGACATATATTAAACCAAGATTTTACAGACTTTCTGCTCATGACCACTTTTTACCCGAGAAATTTTCCACAACTTCATGCATATCAGTATATAAAATAGTTATACTGCTCAGGCATTTATTGATAATAAATAAAAAGTGGTCTACTCATGACCACTTTTTACCTAAGAAATATTCCCACAACTTCATGCGTATCAGTATATAAAAAGTTGTAATGCTCAGGCATTACAACGATTCTTTGACATCCTTGTAATTCCATTATTTATTAAAGATGGAATCCAGTTTACCTACACACTAATGAAGACTGTCTAATATGAGAAAATTCAAAGACCTATTCATTTTATTCAGGTTTGGAAGACAGTAGGAAAATATCAAAGGCTCTGTTTTCCATAAGTGAAGCCCTTGTGTGCCCCAAAGAGCAGAGACTTTGTTTGTAGACTCCAGCCCTACTGTCCATCCCATGCAGTTGTCTGCATCAGGCTATTTCGGACCCTGGCGTTGTGCTGTGTGGAGGCGGATGCTGTGCACAGCACCCATGCCTGTGTGCTCAGAAGTGCGGATGCTGTGCACATCACCCAT